GCGTTCTGTAGACTGAATATGAATTTATTCAGTACAACAACAATATTAATATCTTGAAATATAAACGGTGTATAAGAGATTTAAGTAAGTGGTAAACGGTTCAAAAATAAGAAAGTAGATGTTTTCGCTACCACGATCGCGCAGAAAATGACGATGGAAAGTAACAAAATCAGAATTCGAGGTATAATGGAACAACTCAAAATTTTAAATTTAAATACGAGTAGAAGAAGAAAAAACGATACGATAAGAATGGAGAGAGGCGATACAAAAAGGTGGGATGACGGTGTAAGGAGGTCACACCATCACAAAAATCTACAATTACAATTATGCCTTATAGCCTGATGTATCCTAACTGCTGAGCAAAGGTCTCCCCGTGATCCCTCCAATCATCACGATCCTGAGTTAACAGGGCACAAGCTTATCGTAGGTAGTTGTGCAGTTCGTCAGGCCATCGCTTCCTTGGTCTTCTGCGGCGCCTTACGCTTTTGGGGCTTCACTGGGTGGTTCCCTTAGCCCACAGATCTTCAGGCATGCGGCAGACATAACCAGCCCAACTCCATTTCGGCTTCGCAGTTTCTTGGGCTACATCAGTAATCTGAGTTTGGGAGTACAGTGTCGTGTTCCGAATTCGGTAGGCCCGTTTCACACCAAACGCGCTTCGCTCCATTGCTTACCCCAAGTTTGGTCTTTTGGATCTTCGTAAGTGGGCAAGTCCATCAGCTTCTTTTTGAGAGACATAGGGTTAGACTACCCCTTATAAAATCTTTCATACCACCAATAGCTCCTCCAGGCATTTTCAGTGCGTCTAGTAATTTCTCGCGCTTGCCTACACTGGAAGGAGACTATTTGTTTACGCGTATAATGTCATTGATTTGGCCCAAGTAAAGGTATCGGACATATTGCGTATACTCCCCATTAACGCAGATTTTGCGCTTGGTTGTTAGTCATGAGTTTGATTTTGGTCATGATCATTTTTAGTCCATTCTCGAGGCTTGCAAAGCTCGGATCTTCGATCATGCTTTGTAGCTCTTCGGCAGACGAAGAAAAGAGGACAATACCATCCGTAAAACGGAGGTTACTTAACATTTTCTCGCGTCTGTCTAAGCTATCTAAGTTATGTAAATACATTTGTCAATTTTTAGTGGCAATAACTCTCGCTAATGGTGATGGAAAACACCTCGATGAATCCTGCACGTTGAGGAAAGTTTACAAGCCTTGGAAAATGCGTAAATGTATGAAGCCACCAAGACCTATTGCCGTGCCCAGCTGTGGAATGCGCAAATACCAGGAACATCATGACAGCACTAATGCCATGCCCATTTCGATAAATATAGGTTAGCAATAAAACGTATCTATAGGTAAATACAATACGTATGACAACTGAACAAACAATAATAATGATACACGTCGATTGTGATGTAGAAGAAATGAGCCTCTGCCACATGCGTTGGTGGTGTAATGGTTAGCATAGTTGCCTTCCAAGCAGTTGATCCGAGTTCGATTCTCGGCCAACGCATTGTTTTAATTTCACCTACTTAATTAATTAGCTATAAACATTATAAGAGCCTCGACAAACCGCTTTTGGATTAGTATCTTCATTATACTCGTTTATATTTGGTGCTTTTAATGACATTCCCAGTGTGATCAAGATAAATCCAGGTGGACATCTCCCCACTTTTCCGCCCACATTCGCTCTATAAATTTGTACCATCAATCATCAGTCTACATGACCAGGCCATTAAAGCATTCCCTTTCACAATCCTTGTTACTGTGAGGTTCACAACACTCAATGTCCTGTGTCCAGAACAATAACAGTAACTTACTCTTCATGATTTTAGCCGCTCACGCGATTCATGCGTCTCTGGAAGCATACCACACCTAGAGGTGCCGGTGATGATATTATACCGATTTATCAGATATCGAAGTTATAACAGGTAAAAGAACTAATACTAATTGCTATTTCGGTAACTACTCTAGCAAACCATAAAGATTTTAATGCCTGGGTCTGTCATTTAAAAAAAATAAACAACTTCAAAAATACGTCACGACAATCGTGTGTGTTATTGTTTGGGCTGGTGATGTCCGTGTTTATTTATTGGAAACATACCGTAAGTAGCGTTGTTTAAGTTTACCCTGAATATAAATCTTTATAAACTACACTTTAAGGAGTAATTTCATGGTAAACATTAGAACCACTCAAACGGAATATTATCATATTTACCCAAGTACATCAAAAATTTCATTAGTGCTTTTTAAATGCAGGATTAGCGGTGTATTACTGCATTTTATTTGAGATGTTTTTGTTGTAGTACGGAGGGTATTTATTTAGCAATGCAGAATAATACTTTTTATTTTTAAAAACTTGTATTTAAACTGAATGCTTTTCTAATTTGCGAAACCAAATAGCCGCCATTTTGCGGTAGGATGAGCGCATCGCGTGAGCGGATAATCAGTCATCGTCATCACCTGAAAGACTGTTGACCTGAAAGGCCATAACCTATGAACCAAAAGCCGCCTGCTTCTCAACGATAGGTGTACCAGAATACCGTCCTATCTGCACTGCGTTTCCTCGCTTGAAGTCCTTTTTTTATGGAACCATGGATGAACAAGTCGTGTACCTGGTATTAAACGACACGCCTGTCTATAGCAGTTACAGTACCACTAATAGCTTTACATTGCAAAGATCTTGAGCCATTGTCACTGCGCTTGTCACCCTGAGACATAAGTTGACAAGTCCCAGGTGCCTGTAATTTCACCATCTATGCAACACTAACACAACCAAGGTCAAAATCTGCGTTAATAGGGAGGATACGTAATATGTCAACGATTACCTTTACTTGGGCAAAATCAATGATATTAAACTTGTAAACAAATATAGTAAATGAAACTATTTTTCCGGATTTAAATCGCGTATATTTGTTTTTTCAAACAAACCGACATTTCGGGCCCTTTACAGGTCCCATGGTCACGTAAAATTAAAAATAAGGTATTTAATTAACAACTATTGTAACTATAGTGACAAAATCGGGTGGTTTCCATCAATATTAGACATAACTGGTTGAAGACTGTACCACCTCAGTCAACCGTGACCATGGGACCTATAAAGGGCCCGAAACGTCGGTTTGTTTGAAAAAACAAATATACGCGATTTAAATCCGGAAAAATAGTTTCATTTCTTATGTGTAACAATCGCGAAAACCTAAGAACTCGATATTGTAAACAAATAGTCTCCTTCAAATGCATACGTCCGTCACTCGCTCGGCTAGGGCCCCATTGAAAACCAGTGTCAGCCTAGTCTTGGTTGTGACTTAAATCTGGGATCTGGGAAATGGGATGACACACATGTCACTATAGTATTATGTAACTTGTTGTTTAAATGTTGTTACGCTGTTTTTTGTGTTATTTCTGTTTTATTTCTATTAGTCTTTATTGTTGTGTCTTTTTTATAATGTGGCGTTGCAATAAATGGTTTCTATTTCTATTATTTGTATTTCTATTACAGCATATACGTTACATTGCGGAACAAGGACTCCAAGGAAAGAGTAGCCGCGATTTGAAACAAAAAAACGGAGGAATTAATTCATATACTACAACTATGTTACACATTAACTGAGCTGCCTTTATCAACACATACACGTTCCGCTGCTGGACATGATCGTAAATAATAGGCATCGGTCTCCAATAAGTATACACCAAATCGCTGTATAAAAACGGATATGACACAAACTGTAAAAGGAAAATGATCGCGAAATCAAAATACGTGTTGTCTCTCTCTAACTCGTTACGTTTTTATATATTTCTGTCTCTTGTCAGCTGATGTCAATCGACGGTGTTGGTAATATAGTTGGTGAAAATTGGAACTCGTATCTGAAAACATGTCTTGAGATAAAGACAAACACAACTGTTTTAGATGTTGAAGATTTCAGAATGTGGTTTTATTTATGATATCAAATGGTGAGACGAACAAGTCAGGAGCCTGATGGCAAACGACACGCTTATCCATTACAATTGCAGTGCCACTTAATGGTTTACATCGGAAAGATCTGAGGAGCAATGCCACTGCGCCTGTCACCCTGAGACATAAAGCTGAGAAGTCCCATGCGCCTGTAGCATGCGCACGGCATCGGTTTCGGAATCTATACAAATCCAGATAATTCCGACCCACTTCGGATGTCGCTTGTGCACTTAGTCCGATTCGAGTCCCAGAAAATACGAATATTGCTTGTACACCTAAAGATGATCCCTATGACATTTCGGACCGTCATTTCTCGGATTCGGAACTGGGAACATAGTGGGTTAAAAGACAAGTATCAAGTATGAAGCTTCATTCGCATCACGCGTCTTTTCATTTGGTCAAGTATTGCTTATTTGGCAGTAATTGTTTCGGACGGATGTCGGACGGATGTCGGACGGATGTCGGACGGATGTTGGACGGAGATCGAGAGTAGACCCCCTGATACGAATCGGATGTAGTGCGTAAACGCATTACCCTTCAAAACCGTAACCTGGAAATAGGTAAAGCGGTAAATACTGCCCTAGACGAACTCCGAAGAAACTCTACTGCTACTAAAAGGTCTCAAGTACACTTATCGACAGTTTAAGCCGTAAAATATTGTCACGTTTTTACCCGACTTCAAATAATAGGAGAAGGTTCTCAATTCGGCTGTATTTTTTTGTTGGTATGTTACGCGATAACTGTGAACTGATTTTGATGATTCTTTTTTGTTGGAAAGACCTCAGTATTGGTCCCATTTCAATTTCAAGAAAATATTCCACCTCTAAAAATGGTAAATTAGGGGATGAATCTAGTTACGCGCACTTTCCGGTAGCAGATTGCAACAAAACTTGGCAAATAGATGCAATTCCATGAACTTTTATTTATTTATTTATTTATTTACATCTTTATTTCGGACAACGTGATCCATAAATTGGTTACTTACAGTTTTCTTAGTGGCTATGTTAGTAAAAACGAAAAGAAAATTAATATTTAATGGCGCTTGTCAGCAAATTGATGAACACGTTTTGCTAACAAGCACCTGCAAAAAATGTCGCATCATGGGGGAATCATATCTCCCTGCTACGGTCATCAGGATGGAGTTAGTGCAGGCCCGCAATCTGCAGGGCAGCGAGGCCGTCTTTTTGCGCATGATGGCGTAATAGTCATCGACATGAGCCTGCGCAAACATTCCCGACGCGCTGCAGAAGCGAGGCAGCCCCATCAGCATCCTGAAGTCGTTATTGTACTGAACACGAAAGGCGCTAATGGCCTTTTGCGTAAAGTTGGACCATAGGTTGCACGTGTAGTGTACTTGGCAATAGGCCTTGAAAAGCGTGATTTTTGCCTGCTCACCACAGCGCGCAAACCGCCGGACCAACATGTTACATCGGACCGCCAGCGCCCTCCGCTGCCTTTCTATGTCTGTTCGGTCCTTAAGGTCGTCGGTTACAAAGTAGCCAAGATATTTAAATTGGGAAACTCTTTTAAGATCTACTTTTGAGATCGGTTTCTTTTTTATAAAAAAGTCTTGTTGAATTGAAAATTTAATGTTATATGACGCAAGGTACAATTTTAACAAATACTTTTGCGAGATTACATACCTTTCGCTTTCAATGGCCACATACTTATTCCCTAAACGCTGTTACTTGGACCCTAGAGTGAATACGCAGTGTATAGATGTGTTATTGTACTTGTTCCTTATTTTTTATCAGGTGAGTAAGTAAGATGGAGGCCAAATGCGCACTTATTGCGTCTTAAAAGGCAACGAAGTTTACCCACTATGGTTGGTTAGTCGTCGTCGTTTCTCAAATATATCATACTTATGATAGTGTAAGGGTCGTAGCCGTGGGATAGCGTAGTGAGAGGCACTTTTCAATGAGAAACGAAGAAAATAATCATAAATAAAACTTTACTGCGTGAATTTCGAAGCTTTGTCCAGAACAACCACGATATTCTTTTCTTACAAATCTCTAGTTTTTTATATAATTCCAAACAGAAAACTATATTTATTCAGCCAGTTCTAATACAAATCATACAGCCTAGTCTACAATACCAAGTGACGGTACGAACAAGTCATGCGCCTGA